CCAGTCTCGAACTCTTGTGCTCAAGCTATCCTCCTGCCTCAGCCTACCAAAGTGCTGGGATTACCAGTATGAGCCACTTTGTCCAGCCCATAATCTGTGTTTTATGACCTGGGCAAGGCCCATAATCTCTCTGGGCCTCAGTTTCCTCCTCTGCAAAATGGGAACCCTCTACCATCCCTGCCTTCCTCTTGGGGTTAGGAGAGCAAATGAAAAGCATGCCCAGGAAATCACATGCTTTTCATGTCAATAGCCAAGCTCTCCACAAGCAGAAGGCATCAATCATCTTTAAACAATTATGTAATCCCCTGACTCAGAATTGGGCTTTGCTGGTTTCTGTCCCCCCACAGAAAGTCCAAAGAGTTGGCTCTGGCCAGTGCAGATGGCTCAGGCCTGTCATCCCAGCACTTTGGGAGGCCAAGGAGGGTCGATCACCAGGTCAGGAGATTGAGACCATTCTGGCTAACACGGTGAAACCCCATCTCTACTAAAATACAAAAATTTAGCGGGACGTGGTAATGGGGGCCTGTAGTCCCAGCTACTTGGGAAGCTGAAGCAGGAGAATCGCTTGAACCCAGGAGGCAGAGGTTGCAGTGAGCCGAGGTGGCACGCTACTATACTCCAGCCTGGGTGACAGAGCAAGACTCCGTCTCAAAACAAAGAGTTGACTCTGTCACTTCCCAGCAGAACTTAGTTCCCCGTCTGACAAATGGGGATGATACTCATTGTACTCCTGCTTCGTGGAGTTTGGGTGAGAATCCCAGATGTCAGAGATTGAATGTGTTGTTAATTATTACCATAATCATAGCTCAGAGGAAAGTTCCCATTCCTGGACAGCACTCAAAGAACCTCCAAAATCTGGCAGCACTCTCCTTAAGAATCTGTTTCTCAGCACAGACTCTGGGCCTCATTTAGTTCTTCTAAGTGCTGCGGTTCTTCCCTTCCCCAGACGCTTGGCACTGCACAGCTTAGCACTCCATCCCATACCAAAATGACTGTCTGAATTAATATGTGTCAAGGCCAGGTGCGGTTACTCACGCCTGTAATCCCAGCACTTTGGGAGGCCAAGGCGGGCGGATCACCTGAGGTCAGGAGTTCAAACCAGCCTGGTCAACATGGCAAAACCCCATCTCTACCAAAAACAAAAAACAAAACAAAACAAAAACCCCACAAAAATGTTAGCCTGGTGTGATGGCATGTGCCTGTAATCTAAGCTACTCAGGAGGCAGAGGCACAGGAATTGTTTGAATCCAGGAGGTGGAGTTTGCTGTGAGCCGAAATTGTGCCACTGCCCTCCAGCCTGGGTGGCAAAGCAAGACCCTGTCTCAAAAAATAGTCTCTCTACCCAGGAACACCGGTTCTCCCACACCTGAGACTGACGTGGCCAGGACTTCAAGGTCAAGGGGATTCGGCTGTTCCCATCTTTCAAATAAAGCTGTTTGTCTAAAAAATATAAATAAATTAATTAAATTAAATGAATTAATGTGTGTCTGTCTTTTTGCCCTCAGGGGTCATGAGTGTCATTTCATTTCCCCCAGCACTGAAAGCAAAGGCTTGGTACACAGTAGCCATCCGATAAACTTGGAATCAATAATGTTTTAAATATTCCCAAGATACTCACCTCTCACATCTGTCTCAGGAATGGTCAGACAGTTCAGTTTGATGACCACTCTTTTTGTGGGGGTGGAGATGGGATCCTGCTCTGTGTCCCAGGCTGGAGTGCAGTGGTGTGATCACAGCTCACTGCAGCCTCAACCTCCCAGGCTCAAGTGATTCTCCCACCTCAGAGTCCTGAGTAGCTGGGACTACAGGTGCATGCCACTACATCCAGCTAATTGTTTTAAATTTTTTGTAGAAATGGGGGTCTCACTATGTTGCCCAGGGTTGTCTCAAACTCCTGAGCTCAAGGTATCCTCCCACCTTGCTTTCCCAAAGTGCTGAGATTACAGGCATGAGCCACCATACGTGGCTAATAACTACTACTTTTTTCTTTTTATTTTTTAGAAACCGAAAGCAGTAAGAAGTCTGAAGAGAGTTGAGGAATAAGATGAGTGGCCCTGACTCCTGCAGAGCGGGACGAGGGAGGAAAACACGAATTACTCATTGCTGAGCTGTCTGAGCCTTAGGCTACAAATCAGGCTAAGAGGTGGACGGGCTTTGGGGTTACGAGTCCTAAATCTTGTGCTCAGGTCCTAGCTCGGTCTCTTATTAGCCAGATTCCTTAGGCTTAAGAACAAGCCTCTTAGCACCAATGTCAGCAGCCTAAGAGGGATATTTCTCCTTTACTGACTCACAGCACTTGTGGTGCAAGAATCAAATGCCACCTGTGGAAACCACAATACAAATGTGTATTGAAATGTACAAGGTCACGGCCAGGCTCAGAGGCTCACACCTATAAACCCAGCACTTTGGGAGGCCAAGGCAGGCAGATCATCTGAGCTCAGAAATTCGAGACCAGCCTGGCCAACATGGTGAAACTCCTATCTCTACCAAAATACAGAAACTTAGTCAAGTGTGGTGGCAGGCATGTGTGGTCCCAGCTACCCAGGAAGCTGAGGCAGGAAAATCGCCTGAACCCGGGAGGCAGAGGTTGCCCTTAGCTAAGATCGTGCCACTGCACTCCAGCCTAGGTGACAGAGTGAGACTCCATCGCAGTTCCTAATAAGACCTGAAGAGGGCACTGTAGCACAGGAGCCGGTTAGAACAGAGGGAAATTTCTCTTGTGTCCTCCTCTTTGGCGACGCCTTGCATCCCAGCTCCTCCCCTACCTCCCGGCTCCCCACACACCGGTCAAGTACCCTCCAACCTCCAATATCTGCCGTCATTTTTCCTGCTGCAGATTTCAGAACATTCTCTCCCGTTTGCATATGTGCAGGGGAACACAGGCTGACTTCTTTACATTTGATGATACAAGCACAAAGACTCGCCCCCACATATGGGATAACCAGGATAGGGATCCCATACAGTTGTTGGGGTGTGTGTGTGTGTTTGAGACGGAGTTTTGCTCTTATCGCCCAGGCTGGAGTGCAGTGGCACGACCTCGGCTCGCTGCAACCTCTGGGTCCCAGGTTCAGTGATTCTCCTGCCTCAGCCTCTGGAATAGCTGGGATTACAGGCGCCCACCACCACATCAGGCTAATCTTTTTTGTATTTTTAGTAGACGTGGGGTTTGACCACGTTGGCCAGGCTGGTCTCGAACTCCTGACCACAGGTGATCCACCTGCCTCGGCCTCCCAAAGTGCTGGGATTACCAGTTTGAGCCACCACGGCTGGCCTCCCATGCAGTTTTATGACAACTTTTCCTGTCTGCACAGGTCCGTCCTGGGTGGTGCTTTCCAGCTGAACCATTATTTCTGAGAAGGAATCTGAGGTTGTGGTCAGAGTAAAGCAGAAAATGAGAAGGAGAAATCAAGAGTGGAAGTAGAGTTCATTTGTTCCATGGCCCCCACCCCAGGGAGCAAGGGGGCAGGTAGGGATTAGGTAGAAGGAATAAACCAAGAGCAATGGCTCACACCTGTAGTCCCAGCACTTGGGGAGGCTGAGGAGGATCACTGGAGCCCCGGAGTTTGAGATAAACCTGGGCAACATAGCAAAAACCCCATCTCTAAAAAAAGCAAAATAACTAAAAAATTAGCAGAGCATGGCGATGTGTGCCTATAGTCATGTCTACTCGGGAGGCTGGGACAGGAGGATCACTTGAGCCCAAGAGTTCGAGGCTGCACTGAGCCATGAGTGCACCACTGCACTCCAATCTGGGCAACAGAGCAAGACACTGTCTCTAAAAACAAAACAAAACGAATCCAGCCGGGCGTGGTGACTGACACCTATAATTCCAGCACTTTGGGAGGCCAAGGCTGGCAGATTGCCTGAGCTCAGGAGTTTGCGACCAGCCCAAAACCCTGTCTCTACTAAAATACAAGAAATTATCCGGGCATGGTGGCGTGCACCTGTAGTCGCAGCTACTTGGGAGGCTGAGGCAGAAGAATTGCTTGAACCCAGGAGGTGGAGGTTGCAGTGAGCTGAGATTGCGCCACTGCACTGCAGCCTGGAAGACAGAGTAAGACTCTGCCTCAAAAAAAACCAAAAAACTTTCGGCCGGGCGCGGTGGCTCAAGCCTGTAATCCCAGCACTTTGGGAGGCCGAGGCGGGTGGATCACGAGGTCAAGGGATCGAGACCATCCTGGTCAACATGGTGAAACCCCGTCTCTACTAAAATACAAAAAAATTAGCTGGGCATGGTGGCACGTGCCTGTAATCCCAGCTACTCAGGAGGCTGAGGCAGGAGAATTGCCTGAACCCAGGAGGCGGAGGTTGCGGTGAGCCGAGATTGCGCCATTGCACTCCAGCCTGGGTAACAAGAGCAAAACTCCGTCTCCAAAAAAAAAAAAAACCCATGAATATATAAGTGAACCACCGAGAGTGGCACTTGTCCCTGAGCAGATGCTGCCTATTAGCTGGCTCCAACTTCACCTGTGTCTACTGCCCCTTTTGTGAATTTCAGAGGAGAGCATTCATGGTAACAGTACCCAGGTGAGTAAAGGAGGCAGCTGGACTTAGAGGCGATGTGTATTGAGGCGGGAGGCTGATGCTGGGAGTGTGGCATCAGCCGAAGAGACCAAAGAAGAGGCAGAAATTAACAAGGACCCAGTCACCAGGGTTGGCAGCTGCTACCAGCTCCCAGAGCCCCCGGTGAGGCCCGTCCTCTAGGCTCCCTCTCCTTGATGGCAATCTCGGCACACTGTAGGCTTGCCCTGGGCAGGGTTGGCAGCTGCCGTACTTCGGTGAGGCCTTGAATGGAGCCACCTTATTGACCAGCGTGGGCAGAGCTTGTGGCCTCAGGCCCGGGAGGGTCAAGAGGTCAGACAGGCTGTGTGAGGCAGCACGTAGGGCCCAACCCCCTCCACCCCTCGTTTCCCGGACCTGCTACACTGCTGCCAAGAGTGGGGCAGAGCCAGGGGATTTGGAGGGTCCCAGGAACACAGAAAAGCCAAGAGACATATCGATGGTTTCAGTTCTTGCTAATGAGATTGAAGAATACACAAAACTTGGACCCCATGATAGCCAGAGCGCAGCCCCCATCCCATCTTCACGGTTCCGACCACCCCAGTGTCCAGGGGGCTCTTGTCGCCAAGGGAGTGCCCGTGAGACCTGGAAAAGTCACCCCTTGCCACCTAAATTCTCTAGGTCATCCCATCAATGATGGTAGGCGCAAAAACAGGTAAATTGCCTCCAAAGCGTGTCCTGGCATCAAATTTTGCAGGGCACCCAGTGAGCACAGGCATCTCCCCAGCATGGCTCTGTCCCTGAGTTTAAAGTTGCTCTCTAAATGCTTCCTGCTCTGGGCCCTCAAGCTGGCCCTGTGACATCCTTAGATCTCAGAGTTGTGCTCTGGACAGTTCCTTTGGCCTCTGAGATGTCATCGCTGGCACTGGAGTGTCCGTGGGACAAGGCTGGTGCTGAGCTGAGAGCCGCTTGATGGGGGTTGGGAGTGGTGGGGGAGGGTGTGGCATGGGCGATGTTGGTGAGGGAGGTGGTGGATGTGCCCGGCTGGATGCACCTGGTCACCTGTCCCCTGTTCTGCAGGCCTCTCCTGCGTACAGCTTCAGCTTTCCCCGGATAAAATTGGAGTAGACTTGGAAGAGTTTGCTGAAAGTGTCAGCAGTGATGGTTCGGAGTGGAACAGCCGAGAGGGCTGCATCTGGAGGGGTGGTGGCTTCCTTCTGCCAAGGACAGAACAGGAGGTCACTGCAGTGGCACAGACGGGAAGGGATGGGGCAGTTCCTGTGCTCCTTAGCAAGACCCTTTCCCCCTTCTTACAGAAAGGGCAAGCGAAGTGTCCGCTCCTACTCACCTGGGCTCCCAGCGCCCGAAGCAGAGTGGTGAGGCTGCGAAGACCACGGACAGCTCTATCGAAGTGCAGCTGCAGGGGCTCCCTTGGCTGGGAGGAGTTGGCCAACAGGGCCTGGCCCCGAAGGACAGCGTCCGAGAGCAGGGTCAGACCCTGCCAGACGTCGATAGCCTGCTGCCCGAACTAGAGGGAAGGGACTCTGGGATCAGTGGCCCATGCCACCCTCTCCCTCCTGCCCCTCAGCAGCCCCAAGCACCAAGCTGAGCAAACAGCAGATATGCAATAAGGTTTGTTGAATGAATGAATGAGTGAATGAATAAATGTATTCCATACAGTCCTCATACCTTTCTTTTTTTCGAGACAGGGTCTCACCCTGTCACTGAGGCTGGAGTGCAGTGGTGCAATCACAGCTCACTGCAACCTCGAATTCCTGGGTTCAAGTGATCCTCTCACCTCAGCCTCCCTAGTATCCGGAACTACCGCCAGGTACCACCTCAACTGTCTAATTTTTTAAAATGTCTGTACAGAGATGGGGGATCTCACTATGCTGCCCAGGCTGGTCTGGAACTCCATGGCTTAAGCAATCCTCCTGTCTTGGCCTCCCAAAGTCCTGGGATTACAGGCATAGACTCCGCACCCAGGCAGCCTCATCTCTGCTGCTCCATTTACCTCTCCCTGGATCATTCTTGCTTCCATCCTATCAGGCTCCCAAAATGAGATTCCCCAAAAGAAAAGAAAAATAAGAAAGGAAATCACCTCCATCTTCTTCCAGGCGTAGAAGTTAACTTTGGTGTCTGGGACGGTGATATTCTCATTCAAGCTGCAGCTTTCGGCACAGCCCATCTGAAATGCACACAACCAGGGGAGTCAAGGGTCCCCGAGGGCTTTGCCCCTGGCCCACAGGCAGTAAGACCCCCTGGCTTTGCTCCTTGCCTAGTTTCCAGATATGGTTTGGGGGCCACCAGCCTTATTTTTACGTAGGGGTGCAGTGTCAAGCTTCCCACCTCTACCCCAGACCAAGTGCCAGGTTCCTGGATCTGGGAGGAGCCCCCTTGGCCTTGAGCATGAGTTCTGTGGTGTGTGCTGGGGAAGGGGTCTCACCGTGACATTCTCGGCCTCCTTGCCCTCCAAGGCGTACCGCTCCAGGACTCCGCTGTCACAGATGAGGTGTAGGGGGGCGCCCAGGACTGGGAGGCCCAGAGGGAGCCACAGCAGGGACAGGAGAAGCCACAGCCAGGCAGGACATTCTAGAAGACAGAGTCAGGCTGAGAGTCAGGTGGGGAGGGAGGAGAAGGGTGGCTGTGGGAAGACAGCTTCCTTCACCCCCGCCACCTCTGCCCAAGCTCATCTTTCCCATCCCCAGCCGTGGAAGCACTCAGGTGCTGCCTGCCTGGCCTCCAGTCAATCCTGCTGCCGTGCGCACACCCCACCCCCCAGCTACCAGCATCCACTTCTCCGGCCAAACTTCAATCCTGGTGTGACAGAGGCTTCCCCTCTGGCAGATCCGTGGTGGCTCCAGAGCCCAGGTTATCAGCTTGTCAGCTTCCTCCCAGCCCACCAGCACAGCAGAACCCCCAAACTTTCTTCCCCTCAACCCCCAAACTTTGTCCCCGTCACAGGTCAGGTTTTTACCATCCCCAGAGACTCCCCCAAGTCCTCACTGGCACGTGGAGGCTGTCCCACCCCCCTCCCCTCCGGGGTCCTCGACAAGTCGCTGGTCCTTGAACCCGGCCACCTCCCGGCCAATAGCCCGGGCGCTAAATCCCCGCTCAAACGGGGACCGGGAGGGCGGGAGCGCACAGCCAGCGAGTACTCACCGCGCGCCCCCATTTCTGCGCCTGGCCGGGGTCCCTCAGCAACCTGAGGTGCGCCCGATGACCACACCGGGAGCCCTCATCCCGGGAAGCTCGGCGGGGCAGGGCCAGCCCTACGGGCCTGGAAGAGAGGGCGGCTGTCCAGTGGGCGCGGGGTTGGAGCGGAGCGGGAGCTGTGGCCCCGGTCCGGCTCCGGGAGGACGGCTCAGCGCGGCGCAGCGCTGCGAGCGGCCGGGGTGGCCCAGGGACTCTGCGGCTCCGGCCGGGGGTCGGGGCTGTTATCTGCATGTGTGCGTGCGCGGGTGGGGGTGGGGGAGAAGCTGTGTGCGTGAGGGGTCGCCAGGGTAGGGGCCACCCGGGGTCAGAGCAGGGGGCAGGACGCCTGGGTCGAGGCTCGTCGGGGAGGGAGCGGGACTGCTGTAGGCGCGCGTGCGGGTCATGGGGGCTGCCCTGGGGCCCCGGAGCCCGAGAGGGGAGTGCGCACCCGAGGGACGGGCGGAGTGTGTTATCTGGGCAAGACTGGGCTCCCGGACACTTCTCCTGGCGGGCATCCGGTCTTGGGCGGAGACTCAGAGATACCTGGGTTGCCGGATTCCCACGAAGTAGCTGGGTCTGGAGGCCCAGAAGCTTCAGGGAGGGACATATGGGTGGCCTCCCTTCCCACAATCCCAGGACAGGTTTTAGAAACGACGTTGACCATATTGAGGAATTTGATGGGGGCAAATAGGGCAAGACATTTAGAGTTCTTCCTCCCCACTCCACTCCTCACTGTCTTGGACTCTGCAAACTCAAACACTTAACTTTTTTTTTTTTTTTTTTTTTTTTTTGAGACATAGCCTCGCTCTGTCACCCAGGCTGAAATACAATGGTGGAATCTCAGCTGACTACAACCTCCACCTCCTGGGTTCAAGCAATTCTTCTGCCTCAGACTCCCAAGTAGATGGGACTACAGATGCACCTTTACACCCAGCTATTTTTTGCATGTTTATTAGAGATAGGGTTTTGCCATGTTGGCCAGACTGGTCTTGAACTCTTGATTTCAGATTATCCTCCCTCCTCAGCCTCCCAAAGTGCTGGGATTACAGGCGTGAGCCACCGCCCCCAGCCCCCACCCCAGACACTTACCTTTTAGTGCACAGAGCACACAGTCCATTGTGCAGGACACACATGCACCTTGACATCTGTTTATTTGACCTGTGGTGTAGGTTAGCCAGGCTGCATGGCCGAGTTCTTAAGAACGCTGAAATACAGCTAACACCAAGAGTGATGGGGGCTGGGATTTACAGCTAAGGTTTTATGGTTTCTAGAAGCCCTGCAACAGACGGGTGAGATTCCCAGAGCAGGAGACCAAGGCTAGCTGGCCTCTTGCACCTTAGAAAGTGACCTTGTCCTTGAGCCCTCAATGTCCTCATCTGTCAAATGGGTGGGATGAAACTACCAGCCTACCTCACTAAGGTTTCATAAAACAGGAAAGGGCCAGGCAGGGCAGCTTACACCTATAATCCCAGCACTTTGGGAGGCCAAGGCAGGAGGATCCTTTGAGCCCAGGAATTCAAGATCAGCCTGGACAACATGGTCAGACCTTATCTCTACCAAAAAACAAAAACAAAAAACAAAAATTAGCCAGGCGTAGTGGCTCACACCTGTAGTCCAAAATGTGCAGAAGGCTAAGGCAGGAGGACAACCTGAACCCAGGAGGTCGAGGCTGCAATGAGTCATGATCACGCCGCTGCACTGCAGCCTGGGCAACAGAGTGAGACCGTGTCTCAAAAATAAAAAATGAGGCCTGGCATGGCGCCTCAAGCCTATAATCCCAGCACTTTGGGAGGCCGAGGCAGGTGGATCATGAGGTCAGGAATTTGAGACCAGGCTGGCCAAGACGGTGAAACCCCATCTCTACTAAAAATGCAAAAATTAGCCGGGTATGGTGGCAGGCGCCTGTAATCTCAGCTACTTGGGAGGCTGAGGCAGGAGAATTACTTGAATCCAAGAGGCAGAGATTGTCATGAGACAAGATTGTGCCATTGCACTCCAGCTTGGGCAACAAGAGTGAAACTCTGTCTCAGAAAATAAAAATAAAAAAAGATTGGAATGTGCAGATCTGAGCTGTAAGAGTTTGGAAGAGGGAGAGCTCACTGCGAGCTGGGAGAAATCAAGAAGGATTTGATGGAGGAGGTGATAATGACTTCAGCCTTGAAGGAGGGGTAGGTCATCAATGCGAAGAGGTGTGAGTTGGCTGGGGGATTGTCAATTTGGCAAAGCAAATGGAGAGCCAGGTGTGCCGAGGGAGAGTGGAGAAGAGAGAGGTAGACGAGGAGGCCACGGTGCTGGTTACGGAGGAGCCAGGATGTCTAGGGCCTTGAATGCCAGTCTAAAGAAATTGGATTTTGTTTAGAAAGAATGGGAAACATTCACTCATTCATTCAAAAGGTATTTGTGGACTTCCTATCTGCCCTTGGCCAAGGACTTAGGGATAGAGCAGCGAATGACTCAGCCAGGGATGCCTGTCCTGCTGGAGCTGATATTCTAGTGGGGTTGCTGGTGATGAACACAAAAATGAGTACGAGACAGAGGATTTCGGCCAGGTGAGGTGGCTCATGCCTGTAATCCCAGCACTTTGGGAAACTGAGGCATGAGGATCACTTGAGCCCAGGAGTTGGCTTAACCAGCATGGGCAACATAGTGAAACCCCATCTCTACAAAAATAATAATAATAATAATAATAATAATAATAATTAGCTGGGCTTGAGAGCATGTACTTGTGGCCCCAGTTACTTGGGAGGCTGAGATGGGAGGATCACTTGAGCCCAGGAAGTTGAGGCTGCAGTGAGCTGGGGTTGCGCCACTGCACTCCAGTCTGGGCAACAAGAGTGAGACCCTATCTTAAAAAAAAAAAAAAAAAAAAAAAAAAAAAAAAAAAAAGATAGAGGATTTCAAACAGCCAGAAGAACGAAGGAGAAAAGGCAGAGGCAAGATAGTGAGAGACACCAGACTTGAATAAAGACCTGTCAGGAGTGAGGGACCATGAGGGTGTGGTGGGTCGGGTGTGGTGGCTCACACCTGTAATCCCAACATTTTGGGAGGCTGAAGCAAGAGGATTGCTTGAGGCCAGGAGTCTGGGCAACATAGTGAGATCCCACGTCTATAATTTTTTTTTTAACTAGCTGGTCATGGTGGTGCACACCTGTAGTCCTAGCTACTCAGGAGGCTGAGGTAGGAGGATCCCTTGAGCCCAGGAGGTCGAGGCTGCAGTGAGCTATGATCATGTCACTGCTCTCAGACTGGACAACAGAGGGAGACCCTGTGTCAGTAAATAAGTAAATAAGAGTGGTGTGGCAAGATGGATGGGTGGGGGTCAGAAGACAGAGGCTGGTATGCTTCTGGCTGGCCCGATTCCCTCAGACTCATCTCACCTGTATCCGCAGCTCACCTTGAGCCTTCCCAGACCTGCTATCCAGGCTCCCACGGCCCCACTCAGCTCCTGATTCTGCTTCTTTCCAGAGTCCTGGGACGTGCATATACACACTCACATCCTTACACAGCCACACGTGCGTTCTGTCTTGGCTGGCCCCCTTCCCCAGCCTCTGCTCTCCCAGGCCCCTGACTCCTGCGTCAATGCCCTGACCTAACCATCGAGAGGGGACAGGGGACAGATTGGGGGGTGGGATGAACACAGCTGGAGAAGGAGGAGCCTTTTGGGCTGAGGGACATGCCCCTCCTCTCACACAGCTTCTCGGGGGTCTCTACATCCTTGTCTGCAGTAGAGGAGGAGAGGGAGATGGCCAGGGGCACCAACCTCTAAATGCTGGGACCTGCTGGATAGGAGTGGTGACTGCCTTGTCCCCTGGGACTTTTGGAGAAAGAGCTGTCATTGCAGCTTGGGAGGGAGGAAAGATTCTTGGTCCGCCTTGCACCCAATCTGAAGCCACAGTAATTCTCTTTTTGAGATGAAGTCTTACTCTATTGCCCAGGCTGGAGTGCAGGCACGCTGTGATCTCAGCTCACTGCAACCCCCACCTCCCTGGTTCAAGTGATTCCACTGCCTCAGCCTCCCGAGTAGCTGGGACTACAGGCGCCTGTCAACACGCCCGGGTAATTTTTGTAGTTTTTAGTAGAGACGGGGTTTCGCCATGTTGGTCAGGTTGGTCTCGAACTCCCAATCTCAAGTGATCTGCTCTCCTCGGCCTCCCATAGCACTGGGATTACAGGCATCAGCCACTGCACCTAGCCTGAAGTCATAGTAACTCTGCTAAGAGGGAAGAGGCTGGTTTGGAGCCCAAAGCCTCTTGGATGCTGCACACAGCAGGGTCCATTCATCTGTCCTTGAGGAACAGGAAGAAAACGAGAAGCTCTTTGGGGCTCCCCATCCAATGCCCACCATGCCCCTGCCCAGTGTCCTCCACCGCTACCATCTGCCTGCTCTTCATCTTCTAGCATGATGCTGACCCCCAGGCCCAGGACCGCTGCAGAGAGTCTCCTCACTGACACCTCCAGTTAATCCCTAACCCTGCTGCTCAATTAACTTTCCCATTGAACAGCCCCATTGATGCCAATTCTCTGAGCAGGACCCCGCCATGGCTCCCTTTTGTCTCAGAACTGAGACCCTCCAAGGTCCACCATCCACCTCACATTCCAGCCTGTTCTCCCACTTTTCTCACTCCCACTCCGTTCACCACAGGAGATGGTTTGTGCCTTCCTGCCCTCGGCTCATCCTGGATTACCCTCCCACACCATCTCCCCCTTTTCTTCAAAGCCCAAATCTGTGCATCACCTTCTCCATAAAGCCTTTCCTGATCTCCCAGCAGGAAATCATCTCCTTTCCCAGCACTGCCATCATTTATGTATATGTCTTAGGCATCTCACTGGCAGGGCTACCATGGACAGCTGTCAAAGTTGAGCACTGCACAACTCCCGGGGGTGTCCACAGAGACTCTGATGGAAATGCTGCCATCTGGAGTCATGCAGTGCAGGTGCCCTGATCATCAAAGACAGTGAAGAGAGCTGCATATGGAAGGTCTCATGCACTTTTGTGTCTACCAAGTGTCCAGCATATTGCTTTTCTGTGGTCACTATCCATGTGTGGATTGCGTTAGGTGGTCCCTCCACTACATGCTTGGAGAAGGGCCAGCCTAGAGGGGCCACTAAGCCGTCCCTGGTCCATCCAGCTCCCTGGGATCCTGGGGCATTCGAAGCTTCCATGCACTTCCTGAGCAGGCAGACATTGAGGCAGGGTTTGAAAAGGTCCATTTGTGACAGGAGGATGGCGGGGGTGGAGGCAGGCTCTGCTTCACAGATTCCTCCTGGCAGCTGATTCAGATTGGAATTCCAAGAAGAAGCAAATTTACAGCCCCCCTGAGCTTTACCAGACCCCCGGCAGCACGAAGCCCCAGCTGCCCGGAGTCAGACTTGGAGGGGGGGGGCCTCCCGCCTTCTCTTTTGCTCTTCATTTCCAAGCAATGGCTTCTCAGCTCAGCCTGAGTTCAGCCAGAGGCCCAGAAGACCTTCCGTGCTGGGAGGG